CTGGTACACCGTGTCGCGACCAGTACGTGAACCACCATCTCATGAACCTTGGTAATGTATTGAATATATTATTGATAAATTTATGCTAGATTAATGCAGTTTAAGTTACAGTGCAATGAATGTAATGGTACATGCAAGTATGGTGAGTATCAGTTGCAATTCCATTATTACGCGATTATTTAAACATCCTAAGATTTAAAATTAAACATTAAATTTTGCTTAAATTGAAATGTTAACCAGTTGTATTTAAAATTCTTATAGCTATAATGTTTGCTTAGCATATACTGTAGTCTATTCAAAAAACATGTTATATCTTACAAAGGGTACAACATTTCAAATTTAGCAAAAATATTTATTTAAAAAATTACTTACATATTTCATATAATTTTGATATAAATTAACTGACTAAACTTTATCATACTACCTGGGCCACGAATGATTTATTTGTTGCTATCTCGCGTTTATATAAGAAAATAAATGCACTGTTGTATTTTTAATATATTGCAATAGCTCCCTTATCATTAAATAAATGTTTCGCAATTTTTAGACTAAATTTAATCTACAATTTGTACTTATAAAAGTTTAACGACTTGAATTTGCATAGTATTTTAGTGGTCAGCATATTATCAAAGTCGCAATCACTGAATGTAATGCCAATGACGCCTTAATTGTCTGATTCACCTTGGTTAATTGATATGAAAGCAGATTTTAAAAAAATATATGTACTGTATATTCATTACACGGTATTATCGCAAAAAGTATATTTAAATATGTCTAAAATATTTATAAAAAAAAGTTTAATTATACAATATATAGTTTATGTATAATATAATACCTTACATAATATATACACTAAAATATTTATTTAAGATATTTTTTGAACGTTTATCGCTTTTATTAGTTTAATAAAAATGTATATTTAGCATTATCTAGCAATCATATTAATACAGAGCTCATATACCGGTTTTGTGTATCAAACTAATGTATTTATTACATTTTTTAAAAATGTACAACGACAAAAAAATTAAACAAAAAACTCAAAACATTTTTGGGACCACTTTTTTAGTATTATAGATATTGTACTAACATCATTTCCACAATCAAATATATATATCATAATACACTTGTGGAGGTAAGGCATTTGTAACCACAACACTAGTCCTTTTGGCATTCATATTCACATATTTAGTGAATAATTTTGTGACAAAACTTTAACATTATATTTTTGCAAAAGTGATTTTACAAAATAATAAAATGGTTGCAAAAAGTTATCGACAAATGAAACTTACAATTAGTAGTCAATTATTATATAATATTTTATTTCGCGAGATATTTGCTCCTTTAATGCTAATGATAGCAACACCTAATCTGGCAGTCCTTTTGTCACATATAATTGTCGTCAAAAATAGTGACATTAGAGAGACGTTGAGTTATAATTTAAAATCATCGCTAATACAAATCTGGGGCTCCGTTGACTGGTATGTTAAGTCTTTATTACAGTATATTTTGAGTCATATTATAGTAAGTTAATAAACATAACAAAGTGACCGTGTTCATTCATATTGTATTTATGGAAACGCTCTATAATATAATGTGGCGGAACTCTAAGAATATTTTAGGGTTTCACTTTAAAACCCAGCTTCGCCCGATCAAAGAGAGTGAGCTAGGTATATATTTAATTATTATTAAATATTAAATTATTATTAGTTTTATACAAACATATTTATGTGTACTATAACTACATCAGTTAATAATTTACTAATTATTACTGTAATCACATATTAATAGCTCTCTCTCCCATTTAGGACCACAAAATTGGGATAAATTGGGAGAGAGAGCTCTTAATATGTGATTACGGTTATAATTAGTAAATTATTAACTCATTTAACTTTAAACTATATAAAATACTTTGTATAAAATTAATAATAATTTAATATTTAATAATAATTAAATATATATCCATTTGTATGTAATAAGAGTCCCCTTCAACCCAAGAGCCGTAATATTTGACACAATATTTTGAGTCCACTTTTGCCAAGTTTTTAATTTCAATAAATGTTCTTGATAAATCCTTTGCATTAAAATCTAAAATTAAGTATAATCAAATTAAAAATTTTATTTTAATTGAATTTAGTTACTACCTTTAAATTTAATAATTTTTAAAGCATAAAATAGTTTATCATGGTTATTTTGTATTTTATATACAGAACCAAAACCACCAGAACCCATGATTGATGTTTGGGTTAATAGTTTCCGATCAAAATCCTGTCTTAAATTTATTGTATTGTTAGTTAATTTGTGTTCAGTAATATAGTAATCATTTATATTTTTGTGTTTGGTTTTAACCAATTTGTTTGCGTAACTCTATTATGTTTTCTCCATTTGAGAATAGTATTGAATTTACTTTATTATATTCATAGATGTCTTGCAATTTATGTTTTGTTTCATATTTCTTAATTTCAGTACCATTTTGAAAAATAAATATCCAAGATTCATTTATATTATATCTTATATCATAATAATATACTGAACCAGATGCCGTTAAAAATTATTTTTGATTTTTCATTTTCCCACCAAAGGGTTCTTGACATGGATTTAATCTTTTAATTCATAAAGTAATTCTGGTTTACTAACCAACCCTGGTCTATTTTGTAATTTGTCATTATTATTAAATAGACCCCAATTTAATACCAATCCATTGGAAGTTATGGCAAATGAGGAACAATCGCCGCAATAAATGGTTTGTATTTTATAATTATTATTTAATGTCGACAGAAATGGTTCACTGATTCTGTTATTAGTTGTCTCACAACCTAACTGTCCCTCACTATTACGGCCCCATCCGTACACTTGTCCATCGACTGTGAGGACCAGACTGTAATATGCACCACAACTGATTTGTTGGATATTTTTGTTATAAAAGAATGATATTTTCTGTGGCTTTAAATAAATGCCTTCCGGTGTCACATCTCTGCCCAACTGTCCGCATCAATTGTGACCCCAACTATATATATAGTTTGAGGCACTCATAGCCAACACAAGTCATTGCCGATAACGAAGTGTTGAATCCTTTTGTGACACAACTCTGGGATAATATGCGGCGAATCGATGGCTTTATTGTGTCCTAAAGCCAGACAACCGGAGAAATTATGACCCAAACCATACACTTTGTCAACTACATCAGTTAATAATTTACTAATTATTACTGTAATCACATATAAATTGGGAGAGAGAGCTCTTAATATGTGATTACAGTTATAATTAGTAAATTATTAACTCATTTAACTTTAAACTATATAAAATACTTTGTATAAAATTAATAATAATTTAATATTTAATAATAATTAAATATATACCTAGCTCACTCTCTTTGATCGGGCGACCGGGCGAAGACGGGGTTTTAAAGTCAATCCCCATATTTTAGGCGGTAGTGCCCTAAATGTTTGCCGCTGAGAGTGCTGTGCAATACCGGGGTTATTTGTATAGACTTTATGTACAACCCGAATTGATAATAAACTTTTTTACCGCATAAATGTGGGTAAAAAATTACCAAATGTCTATTGCTATTTATTTTATAACGTAATAATTGTATGTAATAAACTTAAAATATCGATATTATAACCAAATAATAGGTTTGATACGGAATGTTGATTGTCTTATTGTGGGGACTCATATCATTGCATTTACCGGGAAAGCCATACAACGGGGCCATCACATCCAATGGATTTGTACCTAAATATTGGTTTGAATTTAATTTTAATTATACATTAAAACAAGTCATAATCATAGCATTCAAATATTAACTCATTGTTTAATAAAAGCATGTACAATACTGTATTACTAATATACAATTTTAAATGAAAGTCATTATAATGTTAACTGAATTACTGATTGTGTTTATGAAGGCATACAGGCTTTAGATTCTATGTCATATCAATGGTAATAACAGTTGGACTCATAGCGAACCACCCGGTGGTGCATCTCTACCACAAATTACCCAATTTTGTGGCCATTTTATGTCTCTTCGGAATTGTCTTCTGCGCTCTTCTTTATGTCAAAGGTTTTCATCATTTTTACATTTTTTCAATCAATTCTCACTTTCATATCATTTTCATCGCAAAGGTTTACTAATGCCATCGAAAGGCTTGTGTAACACAACCAAGAATCTTATATTTGATTATTACTGGGGAATTGAGTTATACCCACACATCACACCTATAATTAGCTTAAAAGTATGGATTATATGCAGATTTGGTTTGATCTTGTGGCAATACGTAGTACTGTTGTGTTGGAAAGCCAATTACGAGACATTACCACCAGGCACAATCAATTACCCTCTGACGGCCACTACATTATTGCAAACCATATATTTGGCTAAATGTTACTACTTGGAGGACGGCTACATGAATGTCAGTTAATTCATCAGTTTATTTCATTTTTATTTATGTAATTTGTACTAGTGCCATTGTAGCTGTACTATTGGTATTATACTGTATAAAATAAACTTATACAGTAGTTTTTAAATTGTATAACATAAATAGGACACTTACCATGTAGTGAACATAAATTTGCTTAGCTTTAAATATTTAAGCATATACATGTTATTATATTTTATAAATTTATTCATTATTTAAAAAACATTGTCTAATTTTAGTTACATTTCTAACAATCTAGTCAATAGATGCGACAGTAGATCGGTTTGGCTATTATTTGTGCTGGAGTATTATAGCTTTTGTACCAGGATTCTATTCAATAACCAGTGTCTATTTGGTTAAAAACACACCTCATGATCAATTTGGTTTCAATTCACTTATTGCGATTCTTATAACTGGTTCGCTGGCGATTGGCCTTAATTGCTGGTCAGACCAACAAAAACTGGAGTTTAGAGCGACTGACGGAAAGTGTGTTATTTGGGGGAAACCCGCAAAACTTATACGGTATGATCCTGTTCAAGTTGCTATTTTTTTATAACTAACTTATATATGAATCTCGATTATCTGAAACAGCGACAAATATTTCTAAAAGTAATATAGGATTAAGCTTTATTTGGAGCGTGTCTCATAGTATACCAATGCACCACGTTCCATAGAAATCTTAATCTTATATTACTCATAGAAATATTTGTCGCTGTTTCATATAATCGAGTCTCATATTGTAATACTTGTCAATAATCGTTTCAAATTTGAGGCATAATAAATCATTAAAATACTAAAATAAACATAATTATTGAATAACTGTTAAAAAAAACTACTTTATACTTTATAAATGCTTTACCTGACAAATCATATAAAATATTAAACATTTAATTAATAATTTCTTCAGTACCATATAATATAACTTTTTAAAACTTTGCACAAATCGACGTGTAATATAAAATTTTTATAAGTTATCATATTTTAATTATTTTATTAGTTAATGTCAAATCAATGAACTTAAAAACATACTTGATTTTACAAAAATTTGGCTATTTTTTGTTTTGGGTATAACAAAAATTTAAAAAAACAAGACAATAATTAAATGTAACATAAAATTATAGATAATAATATAGTAATACAGTACAATATACTGTATATCAGGGGGGCAAATTTTAATCAATTAACAAATAAAATATTTTAAATCGGAGAAAAAAATATACTATATATACAATATATATAATTATTTGCATACATATAGTGTCCAATATGTGGACGATTTCGGTAACACAAAGCGAAGTATACTTTTGACGTCTGGATTCTGGGGAATCGCGCGACACATGAACTACACGTTTGAGTTATT